AATTAAAAAACCTTAATTAATTGTAATTACTGATATAACTTTCGAAATTTTACTGGGTTAAACTTCCGATAGCAAAGTCGGCTTCGTTATGAAATTTTGGGATTCGCCCTGTCTTCCACTGAAACGGATTTCTCTTTTCGATACTAAGCCGATCCGAACCGGCAGATTTCGGCCGTATAATGAGGGTCGAGAAAGTTTCATGGCCCTTGCTAAACGCTGAGCCCTCCGGAACAAAGGCGACCCTCGGCGAAATATATCGGGGCCGCGGAGCCGTCCTTGCTTCCTGTAAGTGAAAACCGATATTCTAACCTCAGAGGGTCCTAATCCTACTTTGGTAACAGGAAATATATGCCTTCACCGAGTGGATTTTCGCCAATTTAATTTGGCTAAGCAGGGGATATATAATAACGGCCTGGTGGCGGTGTTAAAAATAAATAAAAAATTTTACAATCCCGCGATTTCAAATCCTCTAACGCCGTCCACTGGTACAACACTAGCCCGAAAAGTAATTACTTGCACATTCTCGTGAGCTTTAATGCTTCAAAATTTCTTTCTTTTCTTGGGCCCTACCCAATTCATGAGCTTTCTAGCTAATCACTCTCTTCGACATGAAAACGATCGTAAAATAAACACGATAACGATCTTATTTATTACCACGTGAATTTTGTACATGTTTCTTTTTCTTGTATATTGATGTCATAATGACTAACTTATAGCTTTTATCAGAAAATTCTTTAACTATTTCAAAAAATGTATAAAACTTAAGTTAATAAGTCGGTAATATTAATAGAGAAAAATATTTCAAAATTTGACATTGATTATTAAGAAATCGTGAGATGCGGTCTGGTGTGATGTAGGTTTCAGAAAAACATTTTCTTTGTCGTACCAACGTTTCGATCTTTATTGAGATCATCTTCAGCGCTCAAAGTGTTTGTCTTCTGTGTAATTGTGCCATTCTTGACTGAGTGCACTCTCAACACGACACGCAAGAATGGCTCAATTACACAGAAGACAAACACTTTGAGCCCTGAAGATGATCTCAATAAAGATCGAAACGTTGGCACGATAAAGAAAATGTCTTTCTGAAACCTACATCACACCAGACCGCATCTCACGATTTCTGAATAATTATCGATTAACGGTCACCAATCACCACACATTTGACAATGAATTCGACAACTTTATACTAAACTAAATATCCTTATAATAATAAATTGTTTTTCTATTATTCTGTTTAAAAAAAAGAAAAACCCATTAATATTAACCTTAACAATAATTATTTCCGACATTATCGCCAATAACTTGGTAATTTTTTTATTATTGGTCCTTACTCCGTACTTGCTTAAATCATTTTCAATAAATATTTAAATGCCTGTGATTTTTTTTTTTTTTTTTTTTTTTTTTTTTTTTTTTTTTTTTTTTTTTTTTTTTTTTTTTTTTTAAAGCGGGGAACACATTTACCCGATGAACGCTATGCGACGCTACCCAATGCTACCCGACGCCTTGTCACGTTTTGGTGGGGTGTGCACATCTATGCGACGTCAAGCGCGCGCCACGCCAGCGTGTATCACAATAATCAGTATCGCAATCGCAACGCCTCTTTTGTTCTTAATGCACTATTTTGAGCACAACACTGTAATAAATTGTTAGTTAAATTTAATTGCTTTAAATAAAGTTATTCCAGTGTTTCGATAAATCTTCTGCCTAACCATCATAATTAGATAATTTTTTTATAAAAACTCATGAATTTTTGATATTGTTTAATTTTGTTTACATTAAAATAAGAATGTTGTAATTAATATAACGACAAAAATACATATACATAGTTTGAAATAAACTACAAAAAATATGAGTTTCCTGTTCTGACGCTAGTCGACGAAAATTGTGTAATTTTGTGAGCAAAACCATGAAATAAATTGTTAGTTAAATTTTATGAACAAAACCGTGTGTTAATTTGTTGGTTAAATTCATTATATAAAAAAATGGTATTCCGGTGTGATCAATTTTCTACCAAACCGTTAAAATTAATTATATTTTTTGAAAACTAACGAATTTTTGATCTCGGTTAATTTGGTTTATATTAAATTAAGCATGTTGTAATTAACATAACGATAATAATACATGAAGCTTGAAATAAAAATATGAGTTTCCGGTTTTTTTGTCTTCGACTCTACTCGATCCTACCCGACGAAAAACTGGGTGTCAGATCGCAGAGCGTAGAGTAGGGTAGCATCGGGCAGATGTGCACAGGGGTAATACAACCTTATAGAAAATTGGACGTAGGATTTGGGTCGGGTAGCATCTGTCAGCGTCGCGTAGCGTTGCATCGGGTAAGTGTGTTCCCCGCAAGTCGTTGTGGTGAGGCAGAGTTTGATCGCTTATGATCATCCTGGTTCGCCTTGCTTCGCTATTTTGGTTTTTCAGAAGCATTTTGGGATGTTCAACCCAAATTGGCTACATTCGTACACATTAAAAACAGACTAAAAACGAATTACAAATACAAAAACATACCGCGCGACTACGATTACAGCAAAAGTACTAATAAACAAAGACACAAATTTTTAAAAAAATTACAAACCGGGAATAGTCCCTGGGAGATGGACAACATTAACAAACTTCGACTATATAATTTATTTAATAAATAGGGATAAAAATCTCTTTGAGGACACGAGCTGAGAAAAATCATCAACAAAACGAACCTGTTAGTCAGAAGCGATATACATGTGTTAAGGCCACATCTTTTCACATCTTTCGAAACCATCGAAAGAAATTCGATCGACTGTGCAAGTGCAGAATAAGCTCACCCCCATACGACTCCAGAGTCAACTAATTTTCCAAAAGAAAACCCCCGTAGAAGAAAACCGCTCATTTTACCAAATATTAACTTGAACCATGATGAAACTCGAAATACGAAGTTTCGGAGACTTAAAAGCGCTCAGCCTGGAAGATATTGCAAATAATTTCATACTGAGACGAGAAAACATCTTGGTATTTTTAGAAATATGGCCATCGTAACATTACCCATCGCTATAACCATTGTAATAGTAGCTTGGTTAAGCATTAAACGGGCAAGTAACCGTGCCATTTTGCCCAAAGAAGAGGACCATCTCCCAATTCGAGAATTTACAGGGCAATTTCCACAGGAGTGGAGGAGTTACAGCCACATCTGGCCATATCTTCTGCAAATATCAACAGAAGTTCGATCGACACGGCAAATGCAGAGTAAGCTCATCCTCCACAGGACTCGAGAGTGACGACTTTTCGAAAGCACTCCGGATTCATCTCTCGAGTGAATGTTCCCAAGTAGTTTATGTAATAAATAATTTTTTTTTAAATTATCGTCAACCCCAACTTATAAACTTCAATACACCTTTCAATAACTTCCCAACACGAGAAGAAAACATCGGATAGTCTGGCATGAAAACAAAAAAACATATAACAAAGAACATATTAGGTCTTTTAGGAACGTCGGCGGAAAATCAATCTATGCAAATCACCTTAAACAAAGTACACGCTCAACAATACAGACAAGTTGAAAATTCGATCATGCAAAAAAGAACGAAATATGGTCATAGTTGGAAACTGAAATATTCAAACACAACACGCGGAACCTGATAAACACACAGATCAACAACTGACACATCCTTTCAAATTATTACACCGTCATAAAAAGTAAACGACCCGGCTCGCCTATAACTCTCGCTCAAATTACTTGTATCTCATAACTGTCCAACGTGTATGAAAAATCTAAATCCTATGCTTATTCATTATCAATAAAGTTGTTAATAAAATACTTAATAACCATTAAATCCTCACTGTATTTCTAACATTCTAACAGCAGAGAGACAACATTTATTTTTGTTTTCAATCGATTGAATTCTTCTCTCATTTCTTCAGTTTAATTTTTGTAATTAATTTGCAGACATTAAAACCATTTAAATATTAAAAACGTGCAGTATTTCCAAGGTATTGTTATTTTTAGGATAGGAATAGTTAAAAGAATAAAATAGAATGGTTGAGACGGCTTGTCACAACATTTTCGTACAAAGAATCAAATTTTTTAACGCTCGTACTGAGAAAGAAAACTTTTTATCCACATGTTTTATTACATATTGCTTTTCATAATTTGGCAGAGATAATTTCAAAAAGAACCAATTTATAAAATAAAATAATCTGATCATCTTAAAATAGCTTTTTTACCTATAAAAATAGAATAACATTTATATTATCAAAAAGAAATTAAATCAACATGAATAGAAAATACTTTTGCTATTAAATTAATATTTCATATTTCTGAATCAATGGTTAACAAAAAATTTAATACTTCACATTTAATTTTTTATGCATTTGTGTAATATTGTTTATTATTGGTCTAGTGCTCTTTAAGTATAATATACACAAAGCATAAACAAAGTTGACTATAAGTAAAATATAAAGCAAAGTAAAATATAGACAAAGTAAATTTTTTCTGAACTTTTAATTCCCTGGTACGTTATACATACATTAAAACTTAATTCAGGATAATAAACAACGTCTGAAATGTCATTTTGTAGCTAGGAAGTTTATTATAAAATAATGCTATTATTTTTTTAATAATATTTCTGTAAATTCTGTAAGCTCCTAAGCTGTTTGAACTGATGAATACTGTGTGACTATGAACCCTCAAGTCTGAAGGAGTGTAAAAATGAATATGGGTTGACCAACTTACTTTAAATGGAAGCATCAAGAGTTTTGAGTTGCTGATAAAAGCATTTCATATTTTATGTAAAAAGACATTCATAAATGTTAAGATTACTAAAAAAAAGTTAAAATAGCATTGGCATTTTAGACGTTAAGATATGCCGTGTCTCAACCATTATGCCTTCATTTATTCATGTTAAATTAATCTTTATCTATCAATTAGCACGCATAAGAAAATATTTCTTCACAATACCTACACGGGAATGGTTCTTGCTGTGTAAGAAAGACTGTAAGATGTTTTGTCGAGTCGTCTGCTGTAGGAGCTGGTCATCTCGGAGCAGGACGAAGGCAGGAACTGGATGTCGGTGATCCTGAGCCTTCTCGTCATCGGGGGAGTCGTGTCCGGGATCGTCACCGCAATTTACACCCTGGGCTACGTCGACGAACTCCTATACTGGTCAGGTAGGAGGATGGTCCTCCAGGAAGCTCTGAGGCCAGATCTCAAGCCCTGGAGAGTCAAGCCCAGTTGGGCATCTTCCCAAAACTTCATGTTCCACGCTGACGACGGCGGGCTGAGCGTCTATTCTACCACCACCGACAACATCACTCGCCTCGTGTCCAATCACACCATTGTGAGTATTTACTTTATATTATTTTAAATAATATCACTTTGGGTCATACTGGCCAAATGTTTTTATTGTAATTGAACATTCTTTGACAGTAAAAATAGTTTCTTTTGCTGAAATAAAATATTCCATCTGTGCTAAATTTACATATAGTAATATGTTCTGCGTCACCACCGATTGGTAAGGCTCATACTACAAAACTCACTCAGTACAGTACGCAATAAAATAATAATAAATTAAATAGTAAAATAAATATTAATAAATAAATAATAAAATTGCCGTCTCCACTCCTTTTTCCATGCGAAAATATTGTAGCATCAGGATGTGGTCCAATTAAAAAGTATTATTAATTTTTAGTAGAATTAACATTTTTTATTAATTTTTGAACGTATACCTATAGATTAATTAAGGTTTTAAGTTGAGATAAAAAAGTCAGTGTCACGAGCGGGAATCGAACCCACAACCTTCGGCTAGATACGCCGCTGCTCTACCACTTGAGCTATCGTGACTTCGATCCACTCGGACACTAACTTCCCATCTCAACCCCATCTTTTGAATTTTCCGTCCTTTTCACCATTTTTCAAATGTAGTGTAATTTATTTATTCTCGGCGACAAAGGAAATGGCAACAGAGAAGATACACTTCATTTAACTTATTACATTCACTAGTTTCGTGGTCCGCTTGGCCATTTAATGTCTTTCAGTTAATTTTAGTTTTTAGTTGAGATAAAAAGTCAGTGCCACGAGTGGGATTCGAACCCACGACCTGCGGCTAGATACGCCGCTGCTCTACCACTTGAGCTATCGTGACCTCGATCCACTCGGACACTAACTTCCCATCTTAACCCCATCTTTTGATTTTCCCTCCTTTTTGCCATTTTTCAAATGTCGTGTAATCTATTTGATTCTCGGCGACAAATGAAATGGCCACGGAGAGCTTTAGTGAAGGTATACTTCATTTTAACTTATTAAATTCACTAGTTTCCGTGGTCCGCTTGACCAATTAATATCTTTCAATTAATTAAGGTTTTAATTTGAGATAAAAAAGTCAGTGTCACGAGCGGGAATCGAACCCACAACCTTCGGCTAGATACGCCGCTGCTCTACCACTTGAGCTATCGTGACCTCAATCCACTTCCCATTTCAACCCCATCTTTTGAATTTTTCCTCCTTTTTGCCATTTTTACTGCCATTTGTCCGAGTGGATCGAAATCACGATAGCTCAAATGGTAATGCAGCGGCGAATCTAGCCGAAGATCGTGGGTTCGAATCCCGTTCGTGACACTAACTTTTTTATCTCAACTAAAAACCTTAATTAATTGAAAAAAATATTATTCACAACATGTATATTATCTTTCTCCCCTGATGAAGACCGAATAAAGAAAGACAGATATATTAATCCTCTTCGATTAGACCTGATCCCTGATGCTAAAAAATCATCTACAGCTGATCGATAACACTTTCACATGTCTTATAAACTTTTTGTTCATTGGATTACATCCTAGAATTAGCGTAGTGTATTTGAACAAGTTTTGGATTTATACTTGACCAACAAAAATCAACTACAAGTAAATCATTTCTTCGAAATATACTCGAATCATAAAAATATAACCGTAACTAGGTATTTTTGTTGATAAAATTATTAAAAATATCATTTTATTAATGCTTGTTTACTATTTATTGTTAAAAAATTAGAGAAAGAAAATCTTGACTTATTATTTTGCTACGAATTGAATCTAAAAAGTCAATTTAGATACCTAAGTTTCTAGAAATTATTTCATGGTTTTTCATGTCAAAATGGTCAGTTGGTTAGATCAACGCAGTAAGTTTGCAGCAGTAAGCAAGGCATTTTCTAATCAACTGATTATTTTTTTATTTGTTTAAAAGTGTTGCTCAAAACCTCTAACTTATTATAAAAAATTGACTCAGAACAATTCAGAGAATAGAGTGAAAGGGTGAGAAAAAGAAATCCAGATGAGCCAATTTAGCCGAGCCGCGAATCATTCAGCGTTTAAGAGACGGGGCAAAAACTATAGGAAAAGGCCCTGATCTTTTTCCAAGCGCGTAATAAAGCGTCCCATGGTAAAAGCCCGGCCATTTTTGTATCTGCGGCCCCTGAAAAGATCAGATAAAACGAATTTAAGTACAAACGGGGTGTAATTATTTCACAATAAAGGTCGTTGGTTAATTTATAAGCTGGCTCGTAAAAAAAATAATAAACCGATAAAAGGATAAACTCGAAAGTTCATGTTGACCTTTTTGCGGCAAGGTTGGTTTCCAGATTTTACCGATGCGGCAACGGTAATGACAGGATAAGCCGGGCAAAAGGTTCATCAAGTGTTCGATTATCACCTTCTAATTTATTGAAGGTAATTACCTCTACTAGATTAAAGCCAACAAATATATTGTCAAAAAGACCATCCCTTTTTTACAATATTTTGATTTTTAATATAATTTATAAGTATAGTTGTAATATTTTGTCAATTGGGTGTTACAGCAATTAATAAACTGTGATAAAATAAATAATTTGTATAAATAGGAACAGCAATAACAGTAGAAATGATGAATGACGGGGTGAGTCTGGTGTTCAATCCTTTTTTTAAAAAAGATAGTTCCTACTCACAGTAAGTTGTTTTGCAACGATCTGGATTTCGAGCCCTTTAGCGCTCATCATCAGGTTGAAGGATTTGTACAACCACGTCTCTCGACATGAATTGCAAAAGTGAACCCGCTGATACCCCCTCCAACGCGACGTTCCAATGGGAAGCTGGTTTTTTAATGGCGCTTAATTTGAACGTGCGAAAAGCGGGAATTATAACACAATAAATATTATAATAGCAAATACTGTAAGAAATTAATTATAAATTAGTGATTAAAGAAAAAAGATAAAAAATTTGAATGATATAAGACACCCTCTCAAAATCAAAAGACAAGGTAGACAACTTGGCAAAAGGCGGGATTTACCAACTCAATTGTAATGAAATATATAGGACAAAGCGGTAGAGAAATAAAAACGAGAGTAAAAGAACACTTGCCAAAATCGAGCAATTTTCGGAATTTAAGGACCATCTAAAAGAAAAAAAACATAATTTCAATTCAAATTTAAATACAACAATGTTACATAGTTTCAACAAAGGGAGAGAACTAGATTGGTTTGTCAAATTTGAAATTAAAAAATGTAAAATTGAACATGTGATAAATGCATTAATAATATAATGCATTAATTAATATTAATAACAGATAATACATTAATAACAGATTTTGATCTACCATCCATTTTAAATATGTACATAAATAATATTAAACGTCCAAATAATTAAATTAATTTTTAATTGGTATTATTTTTATAAAAGAGTATTGCCTGGGCGCGTTCTTAGACATAGCACAGGCTTTCGACAGGGTCTGGCATCCAGGCATACTTTTTAAACTTAAGCGCTTCCTACCCTCCCATTATTACCTTTTAATGAAATCCTACCTAACTGACCGCTGTTTCAGAGTGAGGTGCGGCAATGAATTCTCAGAACTCAAACAGACACAGGCCGGTATACCGCAAGGTANTAATAATATTAAGGTATCATTCTAATTTTTTATCTTTTATCTTTAATCACTAATTTATAATGAATTTCTTACATTATTTAATATTTCTAATATTTACTTGTGTTATAATTTCCGCTTTTCGCACGTTCAAATCGAGCGCCATTAAAAAACCATCTTCTCATTAGAACGTCGCGTAGGCGTGGGTTGCAATCCATGTCGAGAGACGTGGGTTCAACCTGATGATGAGCTAAAGAGCTCGAAATCCGGATCGTTGCAAAACAACTTACTATGAGTATGAACTATCTTTTTAAAATGGAGCAATAAAAGTAATTAAATAAAGGAATGGCCAAAAGTCTGTAATTCATAAGGACGTCTTGTAGCAGCCGTGGTTTTAAGCGAATGATGACCCCCTGACCCATATTTAAGACGGATGCACTTTTGACAATTTTCAAATTGTCAAATTTCTGATATTTTTAAATGATGGACACCTTCATATTATGAATATTTAATTCTTCATAGATCTGAAGATTTCACACCAACCAGGAAGCATTCACTTATCTAATGAAATAGATAGAATGAAATAAAATAATAAAAAATTCTATTCTATCCTTTCTCAAAAATAACAAAAAAATCAATTTTTTTATTACCACAAAAAATTCCTTAGGCATACGGGGTCACTGTTTATTTCAAACGATATGTAAAGAGTATGTTATACGAGCAAAAATGAAATTATGTAATTGTTAGTTAAATTTATTCTATCAGTAAATGATTTTCCGGCGTTTTGGTGGAGTTTCTTTCAAACCATCATAATTAATTTATTTTTATTAAAAATCTTGTAATTTGGTTTACATTAAAATAAGTACAATGTGATTAATCTGGCGATGAAAATCATAGTTTGAAATAAACAACAAAATACGATTGTCCGGTTTTTTTGGCTTTAGGTATATTTTTGACGTAATGATCGATCTAGTCCTTAATTAATTAATATTTTACGACTAACTATGACCAAAAAACGTTTAATTTAATCTCGGTGATTCCATGGATGTAGCCTAATTCTATATTATATTTTGAAATAAACAACAAAATACGATTGTCCGGTTTTTTTGGCTTTAGGTATATTTTTGACGTAATGATCGATCTAGTCCTTAATTAATTAATATTTTACGACTAACTATGACCAAAAAACGTTTAATTTAATCTCGGTGATTCCATGGATGTAGCCTAATTCTATATTATATTTTGAAATAAACAACAAAATATAACGTCCCGTTTTTTTGTTTTTGAATTTGTAATAATTATAATAATAATATAGTATAAATTATGGAACAAAAATTCAAAATTCTAATCAAAAAATTGGAATAAATTTTATATGTAATTTAAAATAGGATTTTTGTATACATTAGGCGTTCCAAATTAAGAATTTTAAAAGGATAAATTAAAGCTTGGATGGGAATAGGATAAATTAGTTTA